TTAGGTGCTCCGCGGCATGTGGGATCTTCCCAGACCAGGGCTCGAACCCGTGTCCCCTGCATCAGCAGGCAGATTCTTAACCACTGCGCCACCAGGGAAGTCCTGTGGTTCCATTTTTGTCACACAAAGTATGTGTATTCCAGGGTTGAGATTTAATACTGTTAACAATTTCTATTGCTTTATCACTTTCCAAAGTGAAACTTTTTTTTTTAACTGCTAGTAAATGGTAATGAAGATTACCAATATTTGTTCATTTAGTTTGGTGCCACTGCATTGATTTGTGTTGAATTTTGCTACCTGTTGACGTTTTCTTTTGGTTTTGTTCTGTTTTTAGTTTTATGGAGATGTAATTCACATATCATAAAATTTACCCACAGTGTACAATTTCGTAGTTTTTAGTGTATTCACAGAGTTGTGTAATGATCATCACAGTCAACTTTAGAACATCTTCATCGCCTTCACCCTGAAAAATCTGTACCCATTAGGAGTCATTCCCATTTTCCTGAACCCTCCCCAGCCCCTGGCAACCACTAACATACTTTCTGTCTCTTATGTATTGGTCTAGTCATTTCATAGGAATGGAATCCTATAATAGGTGACCTTTTGTCCTTAGCTTCTTTCACGTCCCATAATGTCTGCAAGATTCGTCCATGCTGGAGCACGTATCTGTTCCTGATTCCTTTTTATGGATAGATAACACCCCATTTTGTTTAGCTAAATGCCAGTGCATGAACCTTTGGATTTTTTCCCCAGTTATTAACTATTGTTAATATTTCTGCTTTGAACATTCGTATACATGTTTTTATGTGGACATATTTTTCATTTCTCTTGTGCTCATACCTGGGAGTGGAGTTGCTGGGTCATATGGTGACTCTGTTTCACATTTTGAGGAACTTCCAGATGGTTTTCTAGAGTGGCTGCACCATTTTACATTTCCACCTGCAGTGTTTGAAGGTTCCACTCTGCATTCTCACCCACACTTGCCTTTATCCATCTTTGTGAACATAGCCGTCCTAGGGGATGTGAAGTGGTATTTCATGGTCATGTTGGTTTGCATTACCCTGATGGCTGATCTACCTTTAGCCATTATCATCACTGAAATGTTAACGCAGTAAAAAAGGTAAATACTCTCAGGATAATTAAGAAAGTACTTTTGACCTAGGGGATCCCCTGAAAGGGTCTGTGGGTCGCTCGTTAAGCTGGTAGAACAACGAGGGCTGTGGTTTCAGCATCGTATTTGTCCTTGCTTGGCCAGGACGTTGGCACCGCCTGTGTTTTCCCATGCAATGGATATTGGGAGGCAGTGGTAGGCAGCCGGGTCGAGTGGAGGTTATGGTGAGTCGGCTTAGGCCTGCCCTTGGGCTGTATTGAAGCCCATTCTTTTACTGCATCTGCGGGGAGGGTGGGAGGCCAGAAGAAGAGCTCTTGCCACAATCGGCGTGTAATAACCTGAGATGGTCCTTTTAAAGAGGCAGCAGCAGTAAGGTCTCCCCAGTGCCGAGTGGCTGCTGAACCCAGACAGGGCACTGCACACTCTCCACGTAGGAGTGTGTGGTCCTCAGCCTTAGCGAGAAAACTGAGGATTTACACAGCTTGCCCAGGTGCAGGCCGTAGGGCTGGGAATTGAAGCACTCATACAATCTTGTGAAAGGGAACCAACCCCCAGAATAAATTTTTTTTGTAACCAAACAGAGAAGTAAGTAATTCTCGTATTAGCACACTGCTCATCTTGGTGGCAGTAGCAAAGGTCAGGAAAGTATGGAGTATTTAAGATTAAAAATAAAAAGATGAAACTTCCTGTGCTTTGTTTCAATAAAGGAGCTATGTTCACTGCCTGAGAAAATTGGTGAACGGTCAAGAATTGCCTAGATTCATGTTCCTTGGCTTGATTTTTAATCACGTTGAAGTATGACTTCTTATGGATGTTGCTTCTAATTTGTCTGGAAAGCGAGTGCAGATAGCGCCAGCTTGGGTATGATGAATGGATTCTGACAACGTGTAGTTAGTTACACTTAGAATAAATGCCAACCATTCGAAGCGCTCCGTTTTTCTGTAACAAAGTAACAGCAGAGCCTTGCACAACACGGGATCATATACTATTTTGCTGTGGTGTGGTCTTTACGTCTGTACTGAACATCTACTTAGAGTGTGTAATCACTGGGGCTGTGAGCAGCTTTAGAGATCAGGGCTCACAGCCCATCCAGATACGGAAAACGTGAATCTGTGTGTTACACCGTATACGGTGTAATAACAAGTGCACTAAAGAAACAAATCTAAGCGATCGAATCAGAAACAATTAGGGGGAAACTCAGAGGAATGTCATACCATCTGAAAATATGTTCGGATATTTTTTCTTCTTCTTCTTCTTGCGGGGTGCTGCTGGCTGCGTGTAAGAAAGTCCCCACCTCTGACCAGCTTCATGGGAGAACTTTCGAAGCTAAGAAACTTAAAAAGTGGGTTAGCAGATTTAGCAACATAACAGATGGAAAAGCAAAAAAGAGGAAAATATTTGCAATCTACAAGGCATAAATGTAATTTAAAGGCCACTTAGACAAATGGGGGGACAAAGAAAGCATTGATGGCACTGGGGAGGGCGTCCTTGGAAGACATACGTTACTGTCTGATGGACCAGTGGGAGAGGGGGTTTGCCTTCTGAGTCTTTAAGCTTCAGGAAGAGGTTTCAACTCAAAGGAGGAGGAAGTTTTTCTTTACAGCTGCCTGGTCCTGTGGTGACTTCTGCCTGGCATTCTGCAAGGCCTGGTTGGGGGGTGGGTAGCCTTGGAGTGGAGGTACCCAGTGGGCGGGTGGGCACAGTGACCTTTTAAGGCTCCTTCTGTCAGGAAATACTCCAGGAGCCTTTTGTTTTTTTTGCGGTACGCAGGCCTCTCACTGCTGTAGCCTCTCCCGTTACGGAGCACAGGCTCTGGACGCGCAGGCTCAGCAGCCACGGCTCACAGGCGCAGCCGCTCCACGGCATGTGGGATCCTCCCGGACCGGGGCACGAACCCGTGTCCCCTGCATCGGCAGGCAGACTCTCAACCACTGCGCCACCAGGGAAGCCCCAGGAGCCTTTTTAAAATGACAGCCGCAAGGGCTCACTGGCTTCCCTGGCTGTTCCGCGTGGAGCTCGTGGGGCCGGGCAGCCAAGCATGGGGCATCCTTCCTCCTTCCCTGGAGAAATAGGCCACCTTCCCAGGGGGTTTGGGATGCGGGTGTGGGGGGGACCTACGGGAACCAGAGAAGCAGATGTGAAGGGCCTGTAGATGCCATGGAGGAGTGCCGGGCCCACCAGGTCTTTCCTGGAGTGCGAGTCCCGGCTGTGAACCGAGGAGAAACCTCAGGGCAGCAACGTGATGAAGTTTACTGTAAGGACCCTGAGCATCGCTGTTCTCTTCTCAACTCCCTGAAGCGGGTTCGGGGGTGTGCAGCAGGCACACAGGGAACCAGCACTGAGCACAACCTGGGGACCAGGAGGGTGGGCCTGGGAGGCAGCAGGGCCTGGGCTCGGCGCTCGCCTTCCGTTGGCGTCCTCTGTAAAATGGGCATGAGGATAAGGTCCAGTCCCTTTGGGTTTAGAGGCTGTGACTTCCTCGCCTGACCATGGCCCCTGGGCTGTCGGCAAACACTTAATACTTGTATGTGTGTTGTGACTCCTGGGATAGAAACGGGTCCGGCTCAGAGCGCCTGTGCCTCTCTGTCCCTCTTCTCTGGTCACTGAGGGGTCAGGTGAGGCAGCTGTGTCCTGACCCATATCCGTCGGCAGATCTGCAGCCTTAAATGCATTACTTTAAACTGAAGAATATATTCTTTTTTCGGATCCCCTGTATCCTTATACATGAGGTGGTCCTGTTCGTGGAATGTGACTGTTGGTTTCTTTTTTTTTTTTTCCTATTAATTAATTTATTTTTGGCTGCGTTGTGTCTTCGTTGCTGCGCATGGGCTTTCTCTAGTTGCGGCGAGTGGAGGCTACTCTTCATTGCGGTGCACGGGCTTCTCATTGCGGTGGCTTCTCTTGTTACGGAGCACAGGCTCTAGGCATGCGGGCTTCAGTAGCTGTGGCACACGGGCTTAGTTACTCCGCGGCATGTGGGATCTTCCTGGACCAGGGCTCGAACCCGTGTCCTCTGCACTGGCAGGCAGATTCTTAACCACTGCACCACCAGGGAAGCCCCTGTGTTGGTTTCTTCATTTTAATTCTTCTCTTTTTGTTTAAGGTGTTATGGTGATATTCTCAGGGCTACTGTGTATTTTGTGTGTGTGTGTGTGTGTGTGTGTTTATATTTTTGTTTTGTAGGGATTTTTTCTTTTTTTTTTGTGACTGCGTTGTGTCTTCGTTGCTGTGTGCGGGCTTTCTCTAGTTGCGGCGAGTGGGAGCTACTCTTTGTTGCGGTGTGCGGGCTTCTCATTGTGGTGCCTTCTCTTGTTGCAGAGCGTGGGCTCTAGGTGCATGGGCTTCAGTAGTTGTGGCACGTGGGCTCAGTAGTTGCTGTGCACGGGCTCAGTAGTTGTGGTTCGCGGGCTCTAGAGCGCAGGCTCAGTAGTTGTGGCACACGGGCTTAGTTGCTCTGCAGCATGTGGGATCTTCCCGGACCAGGGCTCAAACCCGTGTCCCCTGCATTGGCAGGTGGATTCTTAACCACTGCGCCCCCAGGGAAGCCCCTGTAGGGATTCTTTTAATGGAGTTTTCAGTGGTTTCAACCAAAGCAGATAGTTCCTAGGATGTGTTTATAACAAAAAGTTATAAAAAAGTTATAACAAAAAGTTATAAAAAAGTTATAACAAAAAGTTATATTTTTTAGTCTCTCTGTGTTTAGGATTATTCCTGTCCTTCGTGGTGGTTGTTTTGACTTGAGGTTGGGTCTTGAGAGCGTGTGAGATGTGATGTTTGTCCAGAATGTTTTCCTTTTCTTTCTCCTTTTGTCTTTGGGGGATTTAGGGTACCTGGCAGCAGGCAGCATCCTCTGTAGTGACTTTGTTCTTCCTCTCTCCTTACTTTCCAGTTTTCAATGGTTCCAGCAGGTCATCACGGGAGAAGGAACCTGTTCAGAAACACAAAAGCAAAGAGGCCACTCCGGCGAAGGAGAAGCACAGTGATCCCCGGGCCGACGGCCGGAGGGAGCAGGCTTCCACGAGCCACCCCCCAGCGGCCCCCTCCGCGGGCTCCTCTGCCAGGGGGCTCCCCGCTTACCACCACCCCCCTCTGCATCGGTCGGCTCAGGACTTACGGAAACAGGTAAAGCCCAGCCCTGCCGCCAGGGGATCATGGTCTGGCCCGGAGGGTGCCGGCCTTCCTGCCAGATGCCACCGCCGCGTTTCATCAAGTTAACTGAAGGGGGAATGTGAGTAGTAGCCTTGAGAGATCCATCTTTCCAGAGCTCAGAAGGCAGGAAAGGATGCTCAGAGGTGAGGGGGTGACCTGGGCACAGAGGTGCCAGTGCACACGCCTCTCCTACCATGAAGATGGATTAGGTGGGGCTGTTGGTGGGTTTGCATCCCTCCCTGGAGGGTGCTGCCAGCACCCAGTGCCACCAGCAGTGGACCCTCGCTTGCTGGGATGCCCTAGAAGGGTAGGGAGGGAACACTCCTTCGTTACCCCTCCCCCACCCCAGCGCCCCGGGCACCAGGTGAGGCAAGGAGTCCTCAGCTGAGGCCGGGAGCCACAAGTTACCTTGGAACAGGCCTGCACATGGCCTGGAGTGTCCCCTGTGCTTCTTGACGGACACGTTGGTGGCTCGCGGCAGGACTTCTGATAGGCCTCCAGGCGGTGATGAGACGGGTGCAGCCGCGGGGGACACTTACTCCGTCCTGCGCCCTCAGGGTTAGCGGAGGCTGCACGCGCTCTGCGCCACCCCCACCCCCACCAAACGCCCCGACTTCGGGGTCACATCCAGAATGCAGATCCTTTGTGGGTGCCTCTCCCTGCCCTTGGACAGAGTTCTCAGCACCTGGGAGGGGGTGTGGAGCTCGGTGAGGCCCTCACCCGGGTCCAGTGGCATTTCGTTACGCGCTCTGCTCCTGTTCTCACTCCATCTGAGAGTGGGTGAGCCATGGGGATCAGAGGTGCGCTCTCCACACTGGGAATTCTGTCACATACAGTTAACACTTTCCTTAGAATAGACTGAGGACTCTAATCTGGAAAGATTGATTGATTCTGGGCGAGGCGCGTGTGGCCTGGAGATTCCCTGACGTGCACCATTGTGGAGAGAACTAACAGATAGATAGATGGTCATTGTGGTGTGAAGGCTGGAATTCCTCCTGTTGAATTGCTCTTTCTCCATGGTCTTTCTCATTCTTGATGACGTTGGGGACCATTGTCTCTGAATATGTAGCTGTATTCATGCACATACATAGGATTGTGTGCATACACACGTAGTATTAGTCTTAACCTTTAGCTTTCAAATATTACTCAGTTCTCCAGCTGGAGTGGACGAGGCAAGAATCCTCCTGTTCAATGTTTCTACGGTCCTCAGATTGCCACTTAGTGCTTCTGAAGTGTTATCTTGAGATTAAACAGGTGGTTTTTGCATATTTTAAACGTTGCCCACTGTTCCTGAAACACAAACCTCACGGTTTTCCTCACGAGAACACCTGAGCATTGATTGTGGAATTGGCCGCCCCTGAGCTGGGTACCCGGTTTTCAGGACATAAAGTATAGGAGGCACCATCCCTTTGGTGTCTTGAGTCCCCATTCCATTTCCAAAGCTGTTGGCCGGACAGGCCTTTGTGCAGAACTTTCCTCCAGATCTTTGCTTATGAAAGAGAACAATTCAGAAGGGGGTCTAGAGAGGGAAGGGATCCATCTGTGGAGCAGGAATCTCAGTGAGGAATGAATGTGTGACTTTATTCACATAGAACCATAATCTCTCTCTCTCTCTCTCTCTCTCTGTCTCTCTCCCTGTCTCTCTCTCTGTCTCTTTCTCTCTCTGTCTCTCTCTCTTTTACACGTGAGGCTGGATTGAGTAAACCCCTATCTCAGTTGGTCCAAGCTCATCCTCAGCCCCCAGCGCTTGCCCCTCAGTTCAGGATTTCCCTTTGTAACTGAACAAGAGGAGTTCTCGCAGTTGGAGGCGAGAGTTGAGGGGAGTAGAAGGTACCCCTTCCCTGGGATGGCCCCATCCCCTTGATCCACAGCAGGCTCACGCGGCCCCTTTTACACGCAGTGTAGAAGATGGAGGGGAGACCTGGGTAGCAGGGCAGACTCATCTGAGTGACTGTAGGAGCCTGGCCGGCTTTCTGGGTTCAGGTCTTGCATTTGGGGTGTAACCGTCCCCGTCCCACCCCCTCCTGCCTGCCCTCCCTCCCCTGTCTAATCCAGCCGGGTGGGATGACCCAGGACTCCCAGGTCTAGTTGGGCTCTGACCACGACCTTCACCCGAGACTTAAGCTGTAATAGTTAACCTTCCTGAGCCTTATTGTTCATTTGGAGCCAATGATGCCAACTCTTCTCCCAGGGACATTGTGAGAAATGAAAGGATAATTTTGATACCATCAAATCCCATTAGTTAAGTACTCTAAGAAAAAAGGTCCATAGGAGCCTATTGTAGATCCCTTTGTAATGGCCTGATGCAAGTGATTAGAATCTGACCTTTCATCTTTTCAACTGCATAAAAGATGGGAGGCCCAGAGAATACTCAGATCTGTAATGTCAGATATGATTAATTTTTTTCTGTCGGCCTGAAAGAAAAGATCAGTGATTGTACGAAGTACAGCTGCCAGGGTGGAGGGATGCCCTATGTAGGGGTGCTGCTGAGAAGTGACCATGCCCTGCTGGCCCCAGTGCACCGACAGCTCACTCTTCTTGCTAGGACATTGCCTCTCACGGTGCTGGGTGGGGTGCTCAGCTTCATAAAAGCCCTGGCCTTTGAGACTCAGAGCATGAGAACTCAGTGTGAGGGGCCTCCCTAATCCTCCAGCTTTTATTCTCCCAAAGGCTCCAGGTGTGCCAGGTGACACCCACACATGGGTAGCAGCCCTGCAACTGCCCTGGGTGATGATTTGGATGTGTGGTAGGTGTCGAGTGCTTCCTTAGAGCAGTACATACGTCATGTGCAGTAAAAATTACAAATTGAGGATGGAGAAACCACCATTCTTACACCTAGAGAGGGTGTGGAGATGTTTTCCAAGCGTGTCGTGAAGAGGCTTTTGCAGACAACTGTGTGTGGTTGGTAAGCCAGGATGTGGAAGACGTGGGTGGTGAGGCTGCCCCCGGCTGGCACACCTCCCGTTCTCCTCTGTTGCGCTGAGGCTGAGCCGTAACGTGAGGGAGAAAACCACCAGCTTGTGTGGCAGGGCAGACACGCCCGGCGGAGGGTCTGCCGGGCTGTGGCACCTTTGAGGAGAGGTTTTCACACTCAAATGTACGGCAGTTGGAAAAAGTCTTGGCCTAGTCGGATGGAGAGAGGAGGCCGAGCTGTTCAGACCGAAGAGTGAGGCGTATTCTTTAACATTCTGGAAAATGAAAAATGAGCATCCAGAGAGAAATGGAGAGACTCGCCTCAGCTAGAAGAATGTGGAAGGTCTGACCGAGCTCTTCATCAGGTCTTGCGGGGAGTTTGAACTGCGCCTCTGTCACGTGGTGCTTGTGACTCGGTCAGGTGGCCTGCAGAGGGGAGGGGGCAGGTGCTTCGGGAAGGTTCGGGGCTCCGACCAGGACCAGGTGTTCCTTTTGGAGAGCAGGGCTGCGTCAGCCGTGTGCCTCTGCTCACTAACTTCCAGGTGCCTGCCACACCAGCAGGCCTGCCTTCCCTGTCCGTAACTTGCTGCCTGTCCAGTGGATTCTGTTCATTTAGGCTCTTTTGCTATTTAATTTGAATTTTAAAGTCCAAATACACTGTCCCCAACCAATAATGTTTCTCTTGGGCACCTTTGCTGCTGCTCTGAGACGATGGGCAGAGCCACTTGACTCAATGACTCCCTCTAGTGGGAAATGGGAGTTTGGTAGTTGACTTTCTGGTTGAACTGAGGGCCGCTTCATGTCTGTGCGACAGAGGTAACCTGAGCTACAGGTGCCGGGTGGGCAGTGGTGGGTCGAGACACCCCACTTCCTGCAGAGCTGGGTGACAGCTGTGGGGTGCAACATCAGAAGCCCACACCTGAGCCGAGAAGGAACACCTTGAAGAGATGTTAAGTTATTCAGCTGAAGGGCCTTTATTGCCCCCCAGAGGGCTCTGCCTCCTGCCTCCTGCCTCCTGCCTCCTGCATGTTGATTTTCCAGTGAATTACAGTGACCCCTCTCCCCTTGTCAGCACTTCCTCCAGATGTGTAGAGTTGAGAGCAGGCCCGTGTGGTGGGCTGGCCAGGTGACCTGGGCGTGTGTTGAGGTGAAACTTAGTGTTGGGCTCTCTTCCATGGTGGAATAGAGCGGTGGCTGGGGAGACGCCCAGTGTGAAGGTGAGACAGTGCCTCGGTCCATAGCTTTGTCTCCTTTGGTACCAATTACTCATTGGACCCCGGAGGCAAGCACAGGCCAATGACTAGGCGTCTGTGTTTATAGAAATAGGTAAATAAGAAGACGATCTTTTTGCCATTGAAGATGGTGAAATAGTTATGCAGAATTCCACCATGTGAAAATTTGGAATTTCCTGTACGACAGTGAGCCAGGAGATCAGGTGGCCCCGAGAAGCCGGACTGGATTGACCCGGGGCCCTGCACTGTTCCTCCAGGTAGAATCTGGGAGAGTGGAAGCCTGGCTTCCCGGCCTCCTGCAGGTGCACAGCCGTGTCGGGGGAGCGCAGAGCTGTCGGGGACTTGCACACACTGAGCCCCTTTCTCCATCCTCACCGGTTAGGTCAGAATCTGGATGGGGAGGGCTTTAGACTGGAATCAGCATTATTTTCAAGCTCCCCAGGGGTTCTCTGGGCTCCCGGGTTTGGGAGGCACTGAACCTAAACCTCGGCAAGACATGACGGCTGGCGGTGGGCTCTGCCGGCAGGAGCTGGTTGGTGGTGTCCACTGTGCAGTGGTTGCCATTTCTGCTGGCGGATCCTTATCTTCAGGAAGGGATTAACGGTGCCCTGCGTCTGCTTATGTGTAAGTTGGGTGAGAGTCGGAGCAGGTTAACCACAGATTGAGGGCTTCGAGGGGTGTCTTCTCTGAAGATGCAGGTCCCTGAGCATCTTGCTGATGGAAAACTCTTTCTGTGAGCCTCTGCAGGGTTTTACTGTTTCCTTTAGTTTTTCTAAATGGTTTGTTTTGTTTTTAGTCAATGGATATTTGCATCCCTCACCGTACATCCTATTCCAAATTAGTGGTACTTATCATGGAAATTTTGTCTTTGCCCCTGCCCCTGGTTTTATAAATTTGTTTTTAATTTATTGTTGCCAGGCTGCTAGTTCTGTTCTGGTTTTGTTTTAAAATTTCCTGTTACGTATTCTAGACCACCTGCTCTGTCAGTCCTGCTTCATTCTCAAGTGGCCGGCAGTGGTGCATCCAGGCCGTAGTTCCTGGGCCTTCTCTTTGGCCTCTCCCTCCCCAGTGGGGTCTGGGACCTCACTGAGTCCAGAAGTCAAGGCTGGCTCCCCAGAAACCTGGTTACCAAACGCCCCGGGTTTGGCTCATGGAACACAGTCTCACACCAAGAATTCACGGCTTTCATTGGACCGCGTGTAATTGGCGAATGAAGAAATACAGGTCTGGGGGCTTCTCTCCTTTTTCTGTTTTCATAACCTTCTGTTGGTAGTCTGCTGCCGTGGTTTCCAAAGTAGGTCCTTGGATGAGGCTCAGCATCACCTGAACCTCATTAGAAATGCAGATTCTCGGGCTCCATCCCAGACCTACTGGATGGGAGACTGGGGATGGGGCCCAGCGACCTGGGCTGGGCCTGGGCCTAGTGCAGAGGTCGCTGAGACTCAGGCCCTGCCCTCCAGGACCTGGTCCCAGGGGTGGGTGCATCGGGTGTGGACAGGAGAGGCATGAACTGCTTTAGGTGCCACATGGCTTCCCCAGCTGGGGAGCCCGGGTCCTCCTCTTGGTCACCTTCTTCTCTGGGCCCATTGGTGAGAAAAGGCAGCTGCTGTTTCCCAGTGAGCATGTAATAATGTTTCGTCTGCCTTTTGGGGAGGTGGTGTTGCTCAGGTAACCCTGGCATCCCTGGTTGCATGTGAAAACTCGATGCCCAGGATGGTAAATGACATGTCAGAGGCCACTGAGAGGCAGAGCTGTGACGTGGTGTCCGCACCAGAGCAGCGCAGCATCAGCTCCTGCGCTGGGCCCGTTGTCATCCTTTGGAAATCAGTGCTTTTCTGGTGCCCACCCTTGTCACTCGCTGGCTTCTTTTTATACATGAGGGTGACCTTTGTGTGTCACAAGATTACTGTGGTGTCCAAGCTGTAAAATGGCTGTGAAGAGAGGCTGATTGTTTACCAAATTCCCGTAGGACCGAATGTGGACGCTTGTAGGGGCAGGAAATGGGAGCCGTCTGTGCAGAAGGGGTCGGGCCTGTTTTGCTTCATCAGAGAGGCGAGGTGCATCCAGTGAGGTGCCCTGGGGCCCGTCTCACGGGTGACTGATTGGCAGACGCCCACAGCTGACGGCTACACCTCTGGGCGTGGCACGTGACCGGCACCTGAGCCACGTGAGCGCTCTTATTCCTTTGTTTCCGTAGCATTTTTGTTTTGTTTTTTACTTACTGAGCATGGATTTTAAAACTCTGCGGGCAGATCATGCTGCTGTAGGGAGCACAGGAAAAACTGCAGGCACGTCTTTTCTTGGCACAGGCGTGTGTCTGTGTGTCTGCCCCCTTACCAGCAAGACCTTGCTGTCGGGTGTTATTAACTTGTGGCAGGTGATTGGCAGGCACGTTGAGGGTCCTCACTGGGAAACATCTAGTTTCAAACGACAAACGTGCATGTTACAGCACACCCAGGAGACCCCCTGGGCAGCACCCAGGTTGGCTGCGTGTTTTTGCACGGAAGGATGGGCCCTTAGTCCTGCGGAGATCCTGAGACCCGAGTATCTCAGAGCTGGCTTCGGGCCTGTGTGTTTTGCCTGCCTTGCCTCCCAGAAGCGGGCGCTGGCTGCTGAGTCCGGGCGTGGAGTGGTCCCCGCTGACAGGTGCTAACTCCCCTTCTCCCCCTCTGCTCCTCCTCCCAGGTTTCTAAGGTCGGCGGAGTCACTCGAATGTCATCTCTGGGTACAAGTGCAGCCAGTGCCAAAAAGATGCGCGAAGTCAGACCTTCACCGTCCAAAACTGTGAAGTACACTGCAACGGTGACGAAGGGGACTGTCACATACACCAAAGCCAAGAGGGAACTGGTCAAGGAAACCAAACCTAATCACCACAAGCCCAGTTCAGCTGTCAACCACACAATCTCAGGGAAAACTGAAAGTAGCAATGCAAAAACCCGAAAACAGGTGCTATCCCTCGGGGGGGCGTCCAAGTCCACCGGGCACACCGTCAATGGCCTCAAGGTCAGTGGCAGGTTGAACCCAAAGTCATGCACTAAGGAGGGCGGGGGGCGGCAGCTGAGGGAGGGTCTGCGGAACTCCAAGCGGAGGCTGGAAGAGGCGCCCCCGGGCGACAAGCCGCAGTCGCCCCCCAAGAAGATGAAGGGGGAGGCCGGTGCTGCGGAGGGTCCCGGCAGGAAGGCGGCCCCGGCCCCCGCGGAGAAGGCGCCGCCTGGCGGCCACGGGAAGAAGGAGGTGCCCGAGCGGAGCCTGGAGAGGAACCGGCCGAAGCGGGTGTCGGCCGGCAAGGGCCCGCCGGGCAGACAAGCACACGGCAAGCCGGACGGCGCCCCCTGTGAAAATCGTTCTACCTCGCAATCGGAGCCCCTGCCCCGGCCGCACGAGGCGGCGGCCAAGGCCGAGAAGGGGGCCGGCAGGGCCGGGTGGGCGGCCATGGACGAGATCCCCGTCTTGCGGCCGTCGGCCAAGGAGTTCCACGACCCGCTCGTCTACATCGAGTCGGTGCGCCCTCAGGTGGAGAAGTACGGCATGTGCAGGGTGATCCCGCCCCCGGACTGGCGGCCCGAGTGCAAGCTCAACGACGAGATGCGCTTCGTCACGCAGATCCAGCACATCCACAAGCTGGGTCGGCGCTGGGGCCCCAATGTGCAGCGGCTGGCCTGCATCAAGAAGCACCTCAGATCTCAGGGCATCACCATGGACGAGCTCCCACTCATAGGTAAGCCACCCCCACCCCCCGCCCCCCCACATCCCATGGTGTCTGCCCCAGCTTAAGCTTCTCCAGGCCCTTCTTGGCCCGGGAGGAGTCTGAGGCCCCCCTTTCTGCAGGTGCAGGGTGCTCGTGACAGGAGGAGGGCTGGTCCTGTGACGCCCGCTCTCACACCCGGCAACCCCTGCTGCCCCGAGCTGCAGGCTGCCCTGCGGAGGCCAGAGTAGTGTCCGGCGAGAGGGGCAGGAGCGCTGCCCCCATGCACTTGTCTGCTGGGGGCTGCCTTACCTGAGTTCTGCAGGCTGGGAGGCTTGACCTACAGGAAGTTTTTTCTCACAGTCTGGAGGCTGGAAATCTGAAAGCAAGGGTGTTGGCCGGGTTGGTTTCTCCTGAGGCCTCTCCCCTTGGCTTGTGGATGGCCGCCTTCTCCTGTGTCCTCACGTGGTCTTTGGTCTGTGTGCACGTTCTTGAGGTCCCTTCCTCTTGCTACAAGAACACCAGTCATATTGGGTTAGGACCCATCATGGTGACCTCATTTTACTTTAATTACCTCTTTAAAGACCCTGTCTCTAAATACAGCCACACTTTGTGGCCCTGAGGTTAGGACTTCAACATATGACTCTTTGTGGGTGGGGTACATTTCAGCCCATTTATCTCTGTCTGCTTATCTGTCCTTGCATCTCAGTTTTTCTGGTGATTACTGGGCCTTCGTGGAGCCCACGGGTCCGGGAACACTTCTGAGAGCAGGCACAGCTCTGGCTGTCACTGAAGCAGAGCTCTCCTTGGTGACTGCTTTTGTGAACATACACCCAGCTATTGTGAAGACCCTTGGCTCCCAGGCAGAGCCCACGGATGGCTCTTGGAATCCGCATTTCCCTCTTCCTCTCCCCTTATTGAGCCTCCAGGATTAACTCACTCTGTCAGTGATGAGCGGTTCTGCGGAGTGGGGTTCCTTTTGGGTCTGCCAGGTGAGTCACGTGCTTCCCTTCTGGCTCTAGATAGACCCTCGACAGGAACAGGGCATGTCCTTCCTCCAGTTGGAGAGAACAACTTTTTAAAGGCAGGGAGCAGAGGAGATATTATCGGTCATTTAGGTGTCAAGAGTTGGCAGTAAGATAGGGCTCCTTGTAAGATGGAGGCTTCATTATTACTCTCAGCAGGTGAGAATCACTTAAATTGAAAGAATTCTTGGTTTGTGGTCCACTGTCGGGGATGTGGTCGAAGGTGACACAGGGCCGTGGGAACAGGCTGAGGAGGTGCCAGCCTCTTGGGAGCTTGGCGTTGGCTGCGTGGGTGACCAAGAACCTCACCAAGTCGTGGCTGCAGTGGGACGTCTTGGGTCGCCCAGCCTGCCCAGGGGAGGGGGCACGGCAGGTCTTCCGGGGACAGGTGGTGTGCTCAGGTGACGTCATGAGGGCAGAGAGCGATCTTCCATTCAGAGTGGGTTTCCTTAACCTTGACTCCCGTGGCACCAGAAGCCGCGAGGACCTGACACTGTGGTGTGTGTGTTCACACCCGTTGCTGTTACCCCAGCTGTAAAGCGTCGTCAGCTTCCAGAAGAGGAGCTGAGCTGGACCGTTAACCGCAGAGGCCTCGGGCTGTGGCTCTGAGCTCAGCCTCCTTGCAGTGTGAGAGACTTGGGAGTTTTCTTTGTGTGTGTGTGGTACGCGGGCCTCTCACTGTTGTGGCCTCTCCCGTTGCGGAGCACAGGCTCCGGACACGCAGGCTCAGCGGCCGTGGCTCACGAGCCCGGCCACTCCGTGGCACGTGGGATCTTCCCGGACCGGGGCACGAACCCGTGTCCCCTGCATCGGCAGGCGGACTCCCAACCACTGCGCCACCAGGGAAGCCCGAGACTTGGTAGTTTTGAAGGAATTTCCCAGAATCCACAGAGCGGCTGCTCCTTCTCTGGGAAGGCGGCACTTTGTCACGTAGCATCCTCGTGGTCCTGAGAACGGGTTGATGATAGCAGGTGAGGAGTGAAATAATGGATTTGCACGTACTGGGTCAGTTTTCTCCGTGCTGTTGAATAACAGTGATTGCCTCCCTTCTGGTCAGCCTGTGGTCTGAGCCCCTTGGGGTAACTCCCATCCCTCTTCACCTCGGCAAGTCCGGGTGGTGTGCGGGCAGCCCCAGGAGATGCCCCAATTGAGAGCAGGGCCTGGAGTGCATCTTGGAATCTTGGGCTTTAGGCCCCTCCCGGCCAGGGTTGGGGCGAGTTTCCTCCTCGACGTGGCCCCCACTGCGCTGACCACAACCAGCGCCAGCGTCCCACCAGCACAGTAGATGGACTCGGGCTGCCGCTTGCCCTTCCCTGCCTGAGGCGGCCCTGAGTTGCCCGGCCGCCAGCGTGCACGTGCTGCTCTCAGGAGTCCCGCTGCTTTTCCGTTCATTTATCTTATATAAACGTATCCCCACCCTTTAAAGAGCTAAACGTTCTTAATGTTTACTTCGCTCACCTACTGTTTTGTAGAGTATTTACCTCCTAACAGCCAGTGGACGGTTATTCTGGAAGATTTTCTTCCACATTTATTGGCCAAAGGGAGGTTGATTTTCCAGGTCCCGCTGAGAGAGTCACTTGGCGGGCATTCAGACACATCTGCGTTTTGACATGCTTTGTACAGTGTGGTCAAGGGGCGTCGTGCAGACGAGCCCATACACCTGGGATAAGCAGCCCTCTGTGTGAGTGGTGATGGGAGTAGCTGAGGGACAGACCGCCGCCTGCCCCGAGGTGGGTGCTGCCTGCTGCCCGGAAACCCTGGGGTGGGGGTTGAAAATAAGTTACTGTGTGTGTGTGTGTGCGCGCGCGTGCGTGCGCTGGGGGTGTGTGGGGGGTTGGGCGTGAAAACACATGCTGACTGTGTACACTTTCCGACATCGCAGCTGTTCCGGGTGACCCTGGCTCGTGGGTATGGCTGGGTGGGGCTGTCTACTCAAGCCTTGCCAGCCCCAGCCGGGATGCCCTGTTCCATCACCCTGCCTCCTGGGGTGTGAGAGGTGTGCACCCTGCCCCTGCTCCAGGGGACGCTGGACTCGTCCTCCTCGCGGATCTGCTCGGCCGTCTCTCCTTGCATTCAGCCCTCTGCCTAAGTGTCCTCTCCTCGGGGCTCCCTGCCCTGACCACCCTCCTAAGACGGCCGCCTCTCAGCCTGTCCTGCTCTGTTTATCGTCCTAGTGCCCAAGATGGTCTAAACCCCGTCTCCCTGTAAACTGGATTGTTCTGTTTGCTGCGCTGACCCCAGGGCCTGGCGGCATCTCTGGCACGGGGCACCCATGGACTCTTGGGTGATGGAGGATGGTCTTGTTGACGGGCCTTTTCACTGACTGTCCCTGTGTTTTCCTCCCTCACTGTCCCAGGAGGCTGTGAGCTCGACCTGGCCTGCTTTTTCCGGCTGATTAACGAGATGGGCGGCATGCAGCAAGTGACTGACCTCAAAAAATGGAACAAACTAGCAGACATGCTGCGCATCCCCAAAACCGCCCAGGACCGGCTGGCCAAGCTGCAGGAGGCCTACTGCCAGTACCTGCTCTCCTATGACTCCCTGTCCCCCGAGGAGCACCGGCGCCTGGAGAAGGAGGTGCTGATGGAGAAGGAGAGCCTGGAGAGGCGCAAGGGGCCCCTGGAGGGCCACACGGAGCAGGACTACAACCGCTTCCACCCGCTGCCCCGCTTCGAGCCCAAGAACGGGCTCATTAACGGCGTGGCCCACAGGAACGGCTTCCGCAGCAAGCTGAAGGAGGTGGGCCCCGCGCAGCTCAAGACGGGGCGGCGGCGACTCTTTGCTCAGGAAAAGGAGGTGGTGAAGGAGGAGGACGACAGAGGCATCCTCAGCGACTTCCACAAGTGCATATATAAGGTAGGGCCCCTGGGCGGGGCCTGGGCGTGGGGCCTCGGGAGCACATGCGGGCCCGGGGGTCCGCTGCGTCAGGCTCCCGAGACCCGGCAGTCGGCTCTGGCTCCGGTCCTCACAAAGAGAGGCGTCTGCAGTCTGCAGGGGGCTGGGTGTCCGGTCGAGGTTGCTGGGCGCCCAGCCAGGGGAGTCGCTTGCCCACCGTGGCCTTGGGCTTCCTGTCCATTAATTAAATGGGTTTGCGTGCGCACATGTGTGCCCATGTGCCAGGGGTGCAGCCTGGGAGCCACCCCCTCATCCTGGAGTGGCTGCCCGTCGGGGCCAGGCCCTCTGTAGCTCCTGATGGACACGCCCCCACTGCCACCCAGCCTGCCCAGCTCGGCTCTGCCGGCTCCTTTCTGTCCGCCATCACGGGTCTCCCGGGGAGGGGGAGGGAGGCTCCCTGCTTCAGCCGCATCCCGTAACCGCCCAGCCATTCCGAGGGGGCGCCCTCTGGGGAGCGCAGTGGCGTGCTGGCTCTGTGTCTGCAGGGCGGTGGGGACCCGGGCTGGGAGAGGGCACAGACTGGGCACTGCCCCTGCACCGCTCCGGCAGCGATCTGCTCCGTAGGCTCCGGGGTTGGGGGGGGGGGCCCGTGGAGGCCTTGGTGGCCATGCTTCCACCGCACGGGCCTGGTCTGGAGACGCGTCGGGCATCTGCGGTTCTGCCCTGAGTTTGGCCTCTTCCCTTTGTGTCCCCACTCCGAGGTCCCACCTCTGGCCACCCTCTGCCTCGCTTCTCATTCTCTCCTAGGCTTGAGTCCTGCCCTCCTTTCTGGAGAGAGATGCCTGCTTGCCTAGAGCTTTTCCTGTTACCGGACCCAGCCAGGGTCGGGTCTCCACAGCTGTGGCCGCGGTCTGGTGGCCGTGACAGTGCTCCATGGCACCTCTGTGCGCCGAGGGGCCGGGAGCTCGAGGCTCCAGGTTCTGAGCCCCCTCAGCATCTGGGGGCATTGACTGTTGTGTGCTGGGTGTCATCGCCTTGAATTACAGGCACCTTGCTTTAGGTGACACAAAATCAGGTTCCTTGTAGTAGTTGGAACTTCGTCGTGTAACGAGTGGCACGTCAGGGGAAGTTTGGACTTGTGCAGCAGTTTCCCTTTTCGTGAGAACCCTACTTACAGAGCCGAAGAGTAAAAGCAAAGGGCAGGGTCTGTAAGCTGAGTGCTTTGACTGTCCTTCCAGAGGCAAGAAGGGCCTGCCCCCTTCCTAGACCTGCAGCTCTGTTCACGGGGATGCTCCCGCATCGCCTCATTAGGGAGACCCTCCCTGACCACCTGCCTTGCAGCCCTGCCCCTCTGCTTCGGCTCTTCGCACTTAGTGCCACCTCCCAGCTGTTTTGTGTGAGTCAGAGTTCCCCAGGCCGCCACGAGGCCAGGGACTTTGTCTGTTTTGAGCACTGCTCTATCTTCAGCCCTTAGAACCAGGCGTGTACACAGTAGGTGCTCAGTAAGTACTTCCACAGTCAGGGGGTGAGCATGCCTGGTCAGGGATGAGTGGAGTGCTTGCCTTTAGGACAAAGCGTATCCGCCATGTGTCACCCCAGTGAGCTTGCCCTTGCTAACATTCCCAGGAAGGGGTGGCGTGCAGGGGTGGGGAGGGGACGTTCGATAATCTGAAGGGCCTGTGTGCTGTCCCAGGGAGGCGTGGGGGACGGGGAGTGGCTCCATGGCAGAGAAGGGCCGGATCCTTCTGTCCCCTGCACATCTACGAGGCCAGGCTGCTCATCTGGCCGGTTCTCATGTGAGGACCCTCAGGGTGGGTGTAGGCGTCGCCCAAGTTTCTTTCCCGGGGTCCCCGGTCCCGAGGTGCAGTCAGTGTCTGACTTGATGCTGCTGGTTTCCCCCACTGGCCACAGACTTTCTCCTGCCCTTGCCACATTGCACCCGTTGCTCCAGGGAGTGAAAGCAGCTTTTAAGCGGGGCACCCTGCAGCGCACCCAGGGCTCCTGTGGGACCCCGTTCTGCTGGCTGAAGGGGGGGGTCTGGCCCGGCGCTGGATGGCCAGGGGTCCTCCCACTCCTTTGTTGGCACCGAGGGTCTTTCTCGGGGAGTTTTTCCGCCGCCTCTGCTCGTGTCAACTCAAGACGTGGCCCAGCCCCCGGTCACAGGGATGCGTCACAGAGGGGCCCGTGACGAGGTGGCCTGATTTGGGGTCCTGGCTCTTCTTTGTTTCTTACACTTGACTCTTGTTTTTGTTTTCTTTTCAGGGGAGGTCTGTTTCTTTAACGACTTTTTACCGAACAGCAAGAAATATCATGAACATGTGTTTCAGCAAGGAGCCCGCACCAGCTGAAATCGAGGTGCGTGGGCTGGGCGGTCCCGGCCCCCCTCCGCTCGGAGCCAGGGATGGGGCCCCTGGGCCTTCTGGGGGCGGGCAGGCGGAGGGGTCGTGAGCGCTCAGCCCATCGTCTGGGTGCTGGGGGCAGCCAGAAGTTTCAACTCGTGCCGACCCCAACTTGTGCAGGGTTAGCAAAGGTGTAGTGGAGAGAGCGAGCATCCCCGGCTTCGCCCTGACTCCCCTGGAGCCGAGGCTGCGGCCCGGGGAGAGCCCCAGACGGGCGCCGCCCAGCTGGCCGCCTCTCAACCCTTCTCACCCTGTCCTCCGGGTGCCTGTTATGCAAGAGAATGTTTGGAATCCCTTGAAACCCCAGTTGTGCTCTTTGTTCTCTCCTGTTTTTCATTTCACGGGGTTGGCAGGTTGCCATTTCTGTGCTTCTGAGTTGTGTGAGGTTGGAGAGGTGCAAGTGCGTCCTGCGCCCAGGTCGGCGAGCGGCAGTTCGGTGTGAGGCGTGGCCCGGGGCGCCCGGATGCTGACGTAGGTGGGCCTGTGCAGGGGGAGGCCCGACTTCTCTCGCTGGTTCAGGGCGGCTGCTGGCGGAGCATGCGGTGATGCGGACTGCAGCCTGGCTTTTGGTGAACAGCTGGTCTCAGGGCACATCTTTTTCTTCGAAGATAAGTGCTTCTTCCTCTCGGTAAAACCGTGCTGACCACCAGGGCGCCCGGGCCCTGATTTGATCGGGTTTCCCGGGAGTGGGCCTTTCAGGACAGTCTGGGTCACCAGGACGCCTGGTCCCCTGCATCTGTGCCGCGTGGGACCCCGCCTCTGATGGTAGCCGTCAGAAGGCCAGGAGGTCCCGCCCTGGTGCTCCGGCCTTGGTTTCCCAGGTTGGTGGATCCCGTGTTCGATTTTGGCATCACCGTCATTGCTTTTAGGCCCCGGGTCTGTACCCTGGGCGGTATCTGTGAACACCACACAGTGGCCTGACCTTTGGCCCTGCCAAATCCATGTTCCATCTACCGCGAAGCCAGCGGTGCCCTGATTGTGCGACACGTGGCCGTCACAGTTGCTTCCCGAGTGCCTGTGCCATTTGTGGGAGAAACGTCAGAGGAAAGGAACGCGACTCTGGGGCTGAACACCAGAGGTGGAAAAAGAGGCCTTTGCTTTACAAGCGCAGGTCCCTGTCGGGCGTCCCCGAAGGGTAGGGTTGTCACCGTCTGTCGCTTCCTACTCAGGAATTAATTCTCTCTGGAAGCCCAGGTTTCGCTTTAACAGTTGTATAATATCTAAACACAAAGGGAAGATATGCTAAACTCCTCCACCCTTTAAGTCTGGCTGACTTCTAGATCCTGCAGAGAGCCTGGGCCCTCTCCTCGGCCGGTGTCACCAGCCTGAGTGCGCGCGCCCCCCCCCCCCCCCCCCCCCCCCCCCCCCCCCCCCCCCCCGCGCCTCCCCCCCTCCCCGTAGCGGACGGCCCCCTTCCTCCCCTGCCTCTTTATTCACCTAGCAGAGGTTGGTGTGGGTCTAGGCGGGACTGGCCTGAACCCGTCCCCTCAGACAAACTGCTGCTCCGTCATCTGCTGCCTGCTAGGACGTCTGTTTGAGGAACCCGGGCATTTAATGCTGTCGACGTCCTCCTTGACGCGGGGCATCTGGCCGCCCCCAGGCTGGTTTTGTTGCAGGAGCCGCACGGCGGGGTGGTGGCTGACACCGGGGGCTCGTGGGTGAGGCTTCCTCCTCTAAGTGGGGTTCCAGGGAGCAGGGGTGGGTGATGCTGTACTTCTGGAATGATGAGCAGAGACACAGTGAGGGGGGAAACTGAACCTCTCTCACCTGTTAGCAAAGCGCATCGCGACCCCCTGTTGCCCTGCAGTCGTTTAGGTCATGCCCATCCCTCCCCCATCTGTTTCGCTGGCTTGGGTCACAGCCTGGGGGTCCGACCCTCACGTGCAGCCCGCTCATTGGGGGTGTGCAGCGTGTGTCTGCTGAGACGCCTGCCTGGGGCTGTGGTCATTACACCTACGGACGGTGGCCGGACGTCTTCAGCCCCTTTGCTGTTATCGCTTTCTCCCTCCCTTTTGTATAAATGATTTTTTTTTTTTTTTTTTTTTTGGCGGTACGCGGGCCTCTCACTGTTGTGGCCTCTCCCGTTGCGGAGCACAGGCTCCGGACGCGCAGGCTCAGCGGCCATGGCTCACGGGCCCAGCCGCTCCGCGGCATGTGGGATCTTCCCGGACCGGGGCACGAACCCGTGTCCCCTGCATCGGCAGGCGGACTCTCAACCACTGTGCCACCAGGGAAGCCCATCGTATAAATGATTTTTAATTGTGGTAAAATATGTGTAACGTTTACCATGTTAGCCATTTTTAAGTGCAGTTCAGTGGCCCTGAAGTCCATTCACGTTGTTTTGTGACCGTCACCACCGTCCATTTCCAGAACTTTTCCATCTTCCCAAACTAAAAGTCGGTTCCTGTTAAACACTGAGCCCCTGTCCTCCCTCTGCGCAGCCCGTGACACCGCTGCTCTTCTTCCTTTCCGACTTTTGACTGTCCTGAGTACCTCATGGGAGTGGAATCACGGTATTTGTCCTTCTGAGACTGGCTTATTCCACTTCGCGTGAAGTCCTCGAGGTTCATCCGTGTTGTCGCGTGTCCGAGTTGCCCTCCTTTTTGAGGCTGAGTCGTGTTCCGTGGACGTTGAACCTTGTGTTTATCCAGTCGTCCACTATGGACGTGGCCGCCGTGACCGTGGGCGTGCGGTCGTTTGTCTGCAGCCCCGTCCCCCTGCTCCCTAGTGGCTGTTGCTCTGGGCGAAGATGGTCCCTTCGTCTCGCATCGTTGAGTTGAGCTGGGCCCTGCGGCCACGGGCAGCGAGATGGTGCTGACAGCCCTCCCTCTCCCCGCAGCAAGAGTACTGGAGGCTCGTGGAGGAGAAGGACTGCCATGTGGCCGTGCACTGCGGCAAGGTGGACACCAACACCCACGGCAGCGGCTTCCCGGTGGGAAAATCAGAACCGTTTTCAAGGTAACGTCGGACGCTCCTGCCCGTGTCCTGGGGACTGGACAGTGCCCCTCCACGTCCGTCAGTGACGCTCCTGTGCTTTCCTCTGCAGACACGGATGGAACCTCACCGTCCTCCCCAATAACACAGGCTCCATCCTGCGTCACCTTGGTGCTGTGCCTGGTAAGCCTGCCTCGGGTGGCTGTGGACCCAGCTCGCCCCGTCAAGAGCTGGAGGGGAGGGGACTGCGGCGCACGGCACGTGGAGAGAACTGGGATTGTTAGAGAAGAGAGAGGGGTCAGCATCATGGCTGAAGTCAGTAAAAATGCGGAAAGGTAAACCAAATCGCAGATCTAGAAGCTGGGCAGGTGCGTAATGGCCAAGCTTTCCACCTTGGCCAATTTCAGAGCTAACGTTCTGACTCTGGGGCTACTGCCTCACAGCCGGGAGGGAAACCAGTTGTCCTGGGTGTTGTGGGAAGAAGGGGCCCCTGGAGGAGGTGGCGGGGAGGGGGTACCCCGAACAAAGGGGCCCCGCTTCCTGGCTGGTGGCCAGTCGACAACAGTCGTGGTCGTGTTCCTTGGGCATCTTGCCTCCTGCCTAAAGTCACTAGTTAAGATGTTCTTCCACGACTGTTTTGTGTCACGTGATCTTGGTTTCTGTGTAAGCAGCAGGAAAGAGCAAGTCCCTTCTAATCACTGGGTTTTGTCTTGTTTTGAATCCCATTTCTTTTTCTGGTTTGGGGAGAAGATGCAATTTCTCTTGCTGTCCCCCCTGAGACATTGGTCTTCATCCTGCCCTGTCCCCTGTGTTCTAGGAGTGACAATTCCCTGGCTAAATATTGGCATGGTCTTTTCTACCTCATGCTGGTCTCGAGACCAAAACCACCTTCCCTACATTGACTACTTACACACTGGTGCTGACTGCATTTGGTGAGTACGCCGGCCCCAGGCCTCCTGATGCCACCTCGCGCTCACTGATGGCTGACAGCCTTGGAGGACTGACTTTGCGAGTTTGTCCCGTGTTCCGTGTCATATCAGCCTGGGGAGCTGTGTTAGAAGTCGAGCTGGTGGAGAATATTTTAATTTGCTCAGGTGATGCTCAAAAACAGATGAGCATCTGTTCTCAGTTGCCTGCTAATACGGGGGGTTTTCCCCTGGCGGTGGTTGATTTCCAGGAGCTCGTTTCATAGCAGGGTCAGAAACAGAGTACAGCAGAAAGCTGGCCGGGAGTGGTGCCCAGTCCACCGACTGCAGAGAATAGAGTAGGTCTTACTGGAAGTGGAGTTCTGCCGTGGGAGATTTCACGAGTTTGTCTGTTTCCCAGGAAGCCTTCTGCCCGGTTCCCAGGCGTGATCCTTAACTGTAAGGCTCACCAGCCCTGATCCGAGCTGGCTCTTCAGCTCCTTTGTTTACGACGGCAGATGGGAAATCACTGCAAATAATCAGATGTCTTGTCGTCTCACGGGCTACCGGCACCGCATCCATCCCACACTAACTGTGTTTATTGTCCTAATGGGGTGATTAGCATCGTTTATTAAAACAAACAAAGTCTTGGAACTAATGTTCTCCCTCCAAGGAGCCAGTGTCGGCAGCAGTCTGGCCATCACGACTCGCCCTGCCTTCCGGCTGTGTCAGGGCGAGTGGCGGTCGGTGTAGAGGCGGGCAGGCCCTGTGGTTGATCTTCTGCGGTGGGGCTGGGGTCTCGGGCAGAGCTGAGGGTGGACAGCCGGACGGTCCTGCGTAGGGCGGCTGGCCGCGTGGGCGCTGTGGGTGTGCATGCTCTCCTCCAGGAGCCACTGAGCCCTGAGCGCCGTTCCGCACGGAGACGCTGCCGGGCAGCGCCGGCCAGTCTGGGTTGAGAGTCACAGGGTCCCACGCAGGCCTGTGACGGGCCCCACCGGACCCTGTTTCCTCATCGGAAAGTGGAGTGATGTGGCCCGCGCCCCGCACGGTGATGGGGTGAAAGTTTGTGGCCCCGGCGGTCGTTGTTCTGCTTGGCCGTTGAGTGAGAGGCAGGGAAACCCTAGGTTCTGTGGGCTGTGTGAAAACTAATCCCTGGAACCTCACTGATGGGGGGTAGAGAGGCGGCCAGATAGGATCTGAGAACTTCATGGTGTGTGGTTTTTCTTAAAACATGTGATTGAGGTTAGAAACCCTGGATTTAAATCACAAATCCGTAACAGAATATGTTGGCATTGAAATAACGAGCACTTAGAAGAAAAGAGCCTTGGACGTGGCGAGTGCCTCCTCTCACTCGGCAGCGGAAGTCAGGACTTGAACCCTCCCCACCAGGCCTGGGCAGCCTGAAGACCTGTCACACGGCTCCGGGGGTGTCAGATGTCCCACTGAAGCCTGTGGACGGCGGGGTTGGGAGGCCCCAGAGGAGGGGGCCCGGGGGAGGCTGCATGTGCCTGCCTCGTGTGCTGACCACCGGCACCAGGATCTCAGGATTTACAGGTGGCAGGTGCGTCCCTGCTGGGTCCTCCTGGGACGTAAGTGGCAGTTCCCATTCTCCTGAGCCCTGGGATCGCACTGAGGGTCCAGGTTCTTCTGGTTGAGTTAGGGCCGCGTTTCCTCCCACCATCTTCCTGGGCTCCTTGGCTCCAGAGCGGGGTCCGTGTTGTCGGAGCCCCAGCCCCTGTGCGGCCGCTCCCTTCACCTGACGCAGGCCCTCGTGGTGCTGGCTGTCCTGCGTGTCTCTTGTGTATTCCACACCACATCCTGGTCCTGCAGCGTCCTCTGTCTGCTACAGAAAAGTGTCAGGTGCCAGCCCGGCGATAAGTCGCAGCTTGGGAGGCTCACGAGAGGCTTTGGAGTGTGCGGGTGTGTCTGGACCTGATTTACAGGGGCTTTTAAACATCCGCTTTTGGTTTGGAGGCTTTTTGGCTCACGCATAGGTCAGATCTGCATGTAAAAGATGCACAGGCTTGTCTGCTGCAGGGGCCGCAGAGCTGCCCTGGGAGGAGAGACCCTGGGACGCTTACGAGCGGGCCCACCTCCCCTCCTGCGCCCAAGGCCAGTTTCCAGGCTGCTGTTTGCTCATCTCTGGGGGAGCGTGGAGGATGGGCTCCCGGGCAGAGGGTCCTTGTCAACCCCTTCTGCCCTGATTCCAAACCACCCAGGTATTGCATTCCTGCTGAGGAGGAGAACAAGCTCGAGGACGTGGTGCACACCCTGCTGCAAGCCAACGGCACCCCCGGCCTGCAGATGCTCGAGAGCAACGTCATGGTACGGGGCCAAGATGGTGGTGGAGGCTGGGCTTGCGTCAGGCGGCGGGGCCAACGCAGTGGTTTCCTTAACTCACCCTCTTTGTCGACCTGCCCCTCAGAGGTAAAGAGGACAATGAAAAATCAGTCCTCCAGGGATCCAGCATAAGCAAAATGTCCTCTCTTATGAAAACCAAACTAAAGTGCGTTCCTCTGATTGATGGCCCAGGACATGGGGCTCGTGCTCATGGGGACCTTTGACTCTATTTCCAGGCCTGGTGGTTTTTTTTTTTTTTTTTTTTTTTTTTTGTAAATGGCGACTGGGCCGCCTGGGCTTCTGGTCAGGATCACTCGGGGATAAGCCCAGCGGCTGCTGACCCTATTTTCAGACAGTCATGAGCCTGCTGAGCTGCCGGGAACCTCTTTAGCCTAGAATTGTGTTCTGACAACCTGAGCTCAAGGCTTTTCCGGCCTCCGCTCACCCTGCCTGGGTCTCCTTTCGCTCTGGGCCCGCCTCACTCTGGGTTTGGCTCGGAGAAGGTAAGCAGCAGCCCCCGTGCTGTGCACATGGATCCCGGTCCAACCGGTCAGTGCCCGTGGGGACACGGGGCACTCACAGCGGCCATGCCTTTGCCTGCATCGTCGTCACTCTTGGGCCTATATCAGTTTAGAACTTCCTACTCCTTTGTTTAGGAGTCACGTCTCTTTATTTTCTAAAGGAGAAACAAAACGTCTTTCATACAAAACGTAATCTGTGTCTGGAGCAGGCTTAAGTCCCGATGCCCCGTCTGGAGGGCAGGTGGGCTGGCAGGCTGTCGCGGAAAGAGCTCCGGACGGTGGGAGGGAGGCACCCAGGAGGGCGGCCCTTTGTGGGCGCGCGGCTCAGCCCTCGTCTCCACAGATCTCCCCGGAGGTGCTGTGCAGGGAGGGGATCAAGGTGCACAGGACCGTGCAGCAGAGCGGCCAGTTTGTCGTCTGCTTCCCGGGATCCTTTGTGTCCAAAGTGTGCTGCGGCTACAGCGTCTCTGAGACCGTGCACTTCGCCACCACCCAGTGGACGAGTATGGGCTTCGAGACAGCCAAGGTAGGCAGGCGGCCCTTGGCACGCGTTCCTGTGCGTGTGTCTGTGTGTAGATAATGTTTAATTTCAAAGTGAGTCTTGGAAACCTGAGTTGGCTGAGAGTTTGTTTTAGAGAGGGAGAGCTGTTAGAGGTTGACTGTATCATGAAAGTCGTCAAGCTCTGTTACTGACCCACTGCGGTACTGGGAGGTCAGTACTGAAGGTGTTGAAGGCAAACACTGTTCTCGGCTGGCGGAGCCACGAGTACCTGGTGTCTGGTGTCTTTCTCCAGGGAGACACGATTGTCCTACAGTTTTCAATTGCTTTGAATCCAGATGGAATTCAACATCTGAAAATTCAGATAGCGACCCCTCCCCAGTAAAGAAAGCCCTTGACAGCTGCCTAGCGTTGAAAATTCTACCCTAAAGGGACGTGACTGCCCCTTGCAGGAGATGAAACGTCGCCACATAGCTAAGCCATTCTCCATGGAGAAGTTACTCTATCAGATCGCACAAGCGGAAGCGAAAAAGGAAAATGGTCCCACTCTCAGTACCATCTCAGCCCTTTTGGACGAGCTCAGGTAACACAGGACCGCCGGGGCCCAGGCCGGGCGGGATGGGGGTGCGGCCCGTCCTCTGTGGGAAACCGCCGGCCACTGGTTCGGAGCTGCAGGGCCCGCCTGGGGCTTGGCCAGCGGGCGAAGACTTCGGGGTGCCGATGCTGCAGGAGGTGCACCCTCTTTGTGGAAATGGACAGGCGGTGGCTCCTGAACCCCTGGCCTCACGGGCCCTTGGTGCCCCTCGCCAGCGAGGAAGGGCCCTGGGAAGGAGCAGACGGGGCAGGAATTGAAGTGACCGTTTGCGTGGCTTCCCATGTGACCTGCAGAGGCTCAGCGGAGCTGCTGGACAGCACACGATCGTCACGCGCTCGTTGACCCTCTGATTCCGACGTCGGCAGAGAGTTTGTCACGTCCGTCCTTGGCCCGGGCGTGGGGCACCCTGGCTGGCACTGGGCGCTTTGCCCCGGGGTCGCCGCAGGCAGGGCCCGGCCATCCGAGAGCCCTTGGGGGTGGTCTGGCCTTTCAACTTCGTACGCAGGCCCCAGGTGGGGAAGCTGGGCCCCGAGGTCCTGCGGCCCAGCCGCTCGGCACCCTGAGCCTTGTGTGTCTGGACAGGGACACGGAGCTGCGGCAGCGGCGGCAGCTGTTCGAGGCGGGCCTCCACTCCTCCGCCCGCTACGGCAGCCACGAGGGCAGCAGTGCCGCGCCCGACGGGAAGAAAAAGCCTCGGAAGTGGCTGCAGCTGGAGACCTCGGAGAGGAGGTGTCAGATCTGTCAGCACCTGTGCTACCTGTCCATGGTGAGCCCACGCCTCCCTCACGGCCGCTGCACCATCTCCCTGACCCCCAGCTCTGCCTTTCTCTGTCCCCTGCCCATCCTCCCTCAAGCAGCTGCCCTGCGGAGACGTGCCCCCCCCCCCCCCCCGCCCCGCCCCGCCCCACCCCGCCCTGGTCTCTTTCCTTGTCTCTTTTACCTTCTCTTCAGCCCTGTGACTGATCTTGCTGCCCTGTGGACTCAGAAATCTGTCTGGTTCAAGCAGCATCTCCTATCCCCAGTCTCCCTGTGCCTGCTTCTGGCTGGAAGGCGGCCCCCTGAGCTGCCACAGTCCAGCCCGTCTGCCTTCCTTCCTGGTCGCTCCTGCAGCCTCCTTGAGGGGCTGATCCAGCCCAGCCTGGGGCTGTGTTACGTGCTTAGTGTCCCCTATGCCGACCCCATCCCAGGCCAGAGGCGACCCCGTCCAGAAGCCTTGCTGGACGGCCAGCTGGACAGTGCAGACCTGCCTCTCGCCTCCCGTGGGCAGCTGCCCTGACACAGGTCTCTGTAAACGCAGGAACGCCCCCCGCTGCTGTGGCCTCAGCTGGTGCCATTGCCCTCTCCCTGCCTGTGCAGAATCCCCCTCCCCAGAGAGAAGCTTAGGTAGTAAGTGCCCGCCCCTTGCCCGGCGCAATGTCCCACTCGTGCATCTCCACCAGCCCCACGTGGCCACCGAGGTGCAGAGCGGCAAGCGCGTCCCAGGTCTGACCCTTGGCCTCCTGGCCATGTGTCGCGTGACTGTGATGCCGTCTCACCCCCTCGCCCTGCGTCCCCGGCATACCTCTGGCTGCCCTGCAGAGAAGAGGGGACTATGTGGCCACTCCCGCTGAGCCAGATGCCCTTTGTCACACATGAGACGTCAGAGCACGGGAGGAATACTGTAATAGTTGGCTAGGGCTGCCGTATCAGAGCACCACCGACTGCTGCCTTGAGCAACAGAAGTCCCTTTTTTCATAGTTCTAGAGGCTGGAAGTCCAAGATCAATGTGTCACCAGGGTTGGCTCCCTCTGAGGCCTCTCCTTGGATCATAGATGGTCGCTTTTCCCTGTGGCACAGTGGTTGTGCCATCAGGGACTCACAGGGCCTTTCCTCTGTGTGCTTCTGTGTGTTAATCTCTTGTTAAAAGGATGTAAGTCATATTGGACTAGAACCCACCCTTACGACCTCAGTTTCCCTGATTATGTCTTTGAAGATCCTCTCTCCAAATAAGTCACCTCTGGAGTTGCTGAGGGTTAGGACTTCCATGTCTGAATTTGGGGAGGGGGTTAATAATTCCGTCCATAACAACCTCGCGTCCCACTTTACATATTTTCTTCTATCTAGCTTTCTTTTCCCAGAGGCTTTTTAGAGGATACAGTCAAGAATCAAGCTGTCTTTAAAACAAACAAGTCATAAGAATTTCCCCAGATCTTAAAAATGTTTTGTGAATATCGCTCATAAAAGCCGCATCGTTCTGTGTTCGTTCCTCTTGCATTAGAATGGAGTTATTCTCGTGGGAAACAATCATCATGTATTTCCCATGAGCCTGGGTGACTCTGTTGTGACCTCATGTGGCCCTGGTCCCTTCCCGTGGGCTCCAAAAACGGCAGGGTGTGGGCTCATTTTTAGGCTCTCCCTCCGAAAGCTGTACCTTGAGAGTTGTCACCAGGATTTCTTAGCCAGAATGGTATGTTAAAAAGCACATATCCTGAATACATAGGTAAAAATTGAGGTTTTATTTATATACGCTTTTCATTGCTTAGGTACTAAGGGGTTTATATGTTTTTGTTCACTGTTTCGTATGTATGTCTGTTCCTGTCCTTAGCCCCGGGTGATGTGTTTGTGCCAATAAGTGTCATTTCCTTATTCCTACAGCTTATTTTTTTTGTTTCTTTTTTTTATAAATTTATTTACTTTTATTTATTTATTTTTTGGCTGCATCGCGTCTCTGTTGCTGCGCTTGGGCTTTCTCTAGTTGCGGTGAGCGGGGACTCCGCTTCGTTGCGGTGCGCAGGCCTCTCGTTGCGGAGCACGGGCTCTAGGCGCGCGGGCTTCAGTAGTTGTGGTGCGTGGGCTTCAGTAGTTGTGGTACACGGGCTCAGTAGTTGTGGTGTGTGGGCTCAGTAGTTGTGGCTCACGGGCTCTAGGTGCACGGGCTCAGTAGCTGTGGCGCACGGGCTGAGTTGCTCTGCAGCATGTGGCATCTTCCCGGACCAGGGCTTGAACCCGTGTCCCCTGCATTGCCAGGCAGATTCCCAAGCACTGTGCCACCAGGGAAGTCCCCAGCTTGTTTTCTTGTCTTTGCTTAGCAACAATGAAGATAAGAAGCCTAGTTCTTCCTGTTGAATCCTTATGAAGAGACCTGTGATTCTTTGCATCTGGTGTGTCAAGGCATCATTTCTGCATTGTTTACACTGAGTGAGACAGGACCGGGAGTCAGGGTTGGGGTGAGGGATGCCCCCCTGCCCACACACACACAGCTCTGAGCATCTGCGGGGCCTCGGCCCATCCCTGGTGCCAGTGCATCCTCAGGGCACTGGAGATTCAGGCTTGCGTGGCAAGGATCAGGAACTGTGCTGGCTGGAGTGTGGACAGAGGTGCTGCCTCCCGACGTGGTGTGAGCCAGCTGGACCAACCGAGCCGCCCAAGAGCAGGAGAAACGCGCGCTGTCGCCAAAGCGTCCAGGGTGTGACCATTCTGGCACCTCCTGTACCAGCGTAGTTTTTGAACCAGAAGTCTCAGGAGCCCTCAGAACCCTCAGCCCCTGTCCACCAGCCCGCTGCGCTCAGACCCTCTGGCGGGAAAGTGCACAGCAGCCAAGAGGGCCCTTGAGGCCTTTGGGTGCAGCTCAGAGATGGTCACTTACTTGTTTCCTGGTTGACGATCCCGGTGACTTGTGGGTGTTCTCGTCAGTATCCCATGTCTCTGGGTCACAGACGCCCCTGGCCTGGGCGGTGGCCTCCCACACTCTGCTCCCGGGACACCTCCCTGTCCCCCACCCCCGAGTCCCCTCAGCCTCGGGTGCCTCTCGTCCCGCAGGTCGTGCAGGAGAACGAGAATGTGGTCTTCTGCCTGGAGTGTGCCCTGCGCCACGTGGAGAAGCAGAAGTCCTGCCGCGGCCTGAAGCTCATGTACCGCTACGACGAGGTCAGTGCCTCGCGGGGTGGCAGCGGTCCCCTGCCCGCGTGGTCCATGTCACAGCTCGTCGTGACCGCGTGCAGCCGGCCTGGTTCCAGGTGCCTTCTGGCCGGACGGTGCCTGACGTGGTGGGAAGGTAGCTCCTTGCGCCAAGGTGGGGGAGTGGGCAGGTCCGGCTCGAGTTCCACTGGCCTGGAGAAACCAGGAGCTGAGGCTGCAGGGACTTTTGTCCTTGTCCGCGCTTTGTCGTGCCCCAGCGAGCCCGTCCGCAGCGCGCTCAGCTCTGCTTTCCCTCCTGGCCTCGGTGCCTCGGTTCATAAGGAGTTCGGTTTCAGGGCGTGGCTGCCCCACTGTCTGGAGGGGACTGTGCCTTCAATCTCCAGTCGGGGCCCAGAACAGACTGAGACCGAAATCGGCAGGGCCAAGCCAGGGCTCCCCTTCCCTCCAGGCCGAGGGCCGCTTCGGGGGCCTTGGGGCTGCGTCCGTCTGGTCTCTGTGTCCTCAGAGCAGCCCGGGACTTGGCCTGAGGAGCCTTCCTGGCCCCAGCCCCGCGGGGCCAGGGCCTCTGGGACACAAAGTGCTGATCGCCGTGCCCGTCTGCCCGTGTCGGCGTCCCTCCCCCGCAGCTCCCAGCGGTTCTGCTGTGGGTCTGCCCGTGGTGAACTTCAGAGCCTGCGGCCACTTGCTGAGCTATGGGCAGCGCCCGAGGGGGCGGCCCTGGGAGCGCCCGCGCCCTTGTCCTTACCCCGGGGCCTCGGCAGACACGGAGCCTTTCACTGTTTGCTCCTGAAGGCTTCAACTTCTGAATAAATCCCAGTTCCACCCTCTCTGAAAACCGCAGCCGTCCCCAGAGGCAGGTCCGTACGAGGTGCTTTCTGTGTTGGCTGGTCTCCACTGCCCGTTAGGTGCCCCCATGGGGAGGGCGCTTCTTCAGCCGGCACGGAGCACTGAGGGCTCCGCTTCCAGAGCAGCCTTTCTCGTCTCGTCACGTGTGTTTTACGTGCTTCCAGGCTGCTCTGCGATTGCGTTTCCGGGTACAAGCTCGCAGCTCCGGAGACACGTGGCCCTTTTTTTTGGGGGGGGGGTCACCTTGGGAGACTGCTCTGGGGACCCCGTTGCCCCTCTTGGCCCGCCCTCTTCCAGAGAAGCGTCCTCCTCCCTGTGGTGTCTGGCCGTGAGCCCCTCTCTGAGGGTGGAACCTGCCGGCTCTCCCATCCCCACTGCCCCCGAAACCTGGGGCCGACAGTCCCACGTAAGGCGGCCTCATCCGGCCATCACACATGGCAGCCCCGGGCAGGGCCGGGCCGGGTGCCCCGGGAGGCGATGGGGGCACCCGTGGGGTCTCAGGCTGTGGTCAGACTTGATCAGAAGCCTTTGGCTAAATTGTAAGATTGGAAAGCTGAAAATAGATCTCTTTGCATCTTCTTTGTTTTTAAAGAGCATGTTCAGCGAAGGCAATAACCACTTTCCCCTCCCTGCTTCTTCACTTGAACAGCAAATGTCAGAACACGGTTAAAAATAAACCCTCGTGTCTGAGTCAGAGCATCTCTGGCAACTCGCAGGGTACAGCCGGCGGCGCTGGGGCTTCTCGAGATGATTCTGAAGCTCGACAAAACGTGGGTTAGTTTCCACCTCCAGCCCATCTTGGAGCTAGGTGTCTTGATGTGACCAAAATCCTGGAAAAGAATCACATATGTAGTAGGGTCTGTCGGTCTGAAGCTTAATCATTGGTTCTCACGCATAGGGAAAAGGTTTTGTCAGCCTCCTACTTTGCCAGTGGCCTGTTTTAGTAAATGAAAATCACAAGTCAGTTCCCTGTTGAGTTGAACTGTATTTTTTTTTTTTTTTTTTCCTTTTTTAATTGGGGAATTTTCAGCTCTGGGTTGGATCTCAGAAATGGCTTTTGAGAGCACAGCTCTGGTCTGAGCCCTGGTGCCCGGCAGTCAGACCCCTCTATCCAGCTGTTCGGTCCCACAGGTGCAGGCGGGCGGGCGGCTGCCTCCTCGGACCCCCTGCTGCCCAGGTGGCTTTAGCTGCAGGTAACTGGGCTTTACTGAAGCTCATCTGTTTGTTCTTCATTAGCATGGGTATCCTAAGTGCTTTAAGTGGCCCAACGATGTCTGCAGTGCCTGGGAGCAGGCCTGGGCCCGGACTAGGCTGACCCTCAGGCTTGAGTGAAGGAGTGGCCTCCTGTCCCCGTGTCCTCCTGGTCTGTCCGTCCCTGGCTCCAGCAGGTGCTCTGCAGTGTATGTCAGAACATGGGCCATTTTAATACTCCTCCACGTGGTTTCTTTTAAAACTGGATGGTTGCGAGTTGTGTTAAAGTTACACATGTATTTTTGACGCCAACAGATAGATGGTTCTCTTGTTGCGTTTGTTCTCTCCCCTTCGCTGAGGAGGGAGTGAGAAACGTTTACAGACACGTGTTTGTATCCATCTGCAAGAGCAGGTTAAGTAGGCTCCAGAGTAGCCAGAGAGAGCAACAAGCAGCCCCCAGGCATTTGTCACCGTGCAGGGAGCCAGGTGAGGGGCCCTGGGCCCTCAAGCCTGAGTCTGCCCTCACTTCCCAGCCCTCCCCGTCCTGCTGGGGCCCCGGGCGGCCTCTCAGCCCCGAGGAGGTGCCCAGGTGGCGGCAGCAGGAAGCCTGCTGCTGTGTTGTCTCGGCGGCGAGGGACCTCGTGGACACGGGTGAAGGTACAGACCAGATGGGAAAGCAGCTCTAAGGAAACAGCCCCACACTTACTCTGGTTTCGGGGCTGCAGGTATTTCAGGGCTTTCAGCTCGTGAACGTTTGGACTTTACAGCCACCAGGGGGCGCTCCTGGGCTCCCTGGAGGGGGAAGTGGGGTTAGGAAGCTGCCCATCAGGAAAGGACCTGGCGTACCGTTTCCTTGGCTTCCAGATGAGAAAAGGCAGGTTTCTCCCCGAGAAGGAGTGTTTCGTTTAGGTGCCTGGCCAGGGGACCTCGGTCTCGGGAAGTTGTTGTCCTAACCAGCTCCCAGGCCGCCGCACCCGGGAACCTCGGGGCGGATTTCCAAGGCCACCCAGCCCTCCCCACCCCACCCCCTCGGTGCCGCTCTGACGTGGTTTGATGAAGGTGACTCCCTGGGGGGTCCTGGCGACGCTCTTCCGTTGGCTAATCCTGTGTCTTCCTTTCAACCCGAAACAGGAACAAATTATCAGCCTGGTCAATCAGATCTGTGGCAAGGTATCTGGTAAAAACGGCAGCATTGAGAACTGTCTCGGTAAACCCACACCAAAAAGAGGGCCCCGCAAGAGAGCGACGGTGGACGTGCCGCCCTCCCGGCTCGCCGCTGCCTCCTCCTCGTGAAGACGCCAGCACCGTGGGCCGGGGATAGATATTTTTCTGTAATTATTATATTCTAGTTTGGAGTACTGGCTGTAGGATACAAGCTGTCTTTGCACTAGCTCTGAAGAAGATTTTCTTCTGGTTTTAGAGAACTAATTTTGTTTTAGCATTAAACTGTTGAACTTTTTTTGTACTTAGGATACCTAGATACTGCAGTCAGATTTTTGAAACTGCCGTATATTCACTGTTTTAAAACCCTTGAGGGGCTGTTATTAATTTGTATCGCCCCTTGTGGCTGACAAAAGCCTTTTTTGTTTGATTTTTGTTTGTGTTTTTTTGTTTTTTTTTTTGTTTGTTTTTTTTGTAATTGTTGGGGGGAAAAAAGGCTTTTTTAACCCAGTTTTGAAGAGGGTAAAGTTTGGAGAACAAATTTTAAAACCATCAGTAATGTGAGATTTTTTTCTAGAGAGGAAAAGGGATAGGAGACACACACACACACACACACACACACACACACAAAACTTGAAAGAAATGGCTTTACTTTGGCTGTCTTTTCTTCTGTCATGCGCAGGACGAGTTTGTAATTGTTAAAACCGGAGAATCCCCATTTTGTTTCTTTGGGTGGTTATGGCAGCTGAAGGTGGACGTTGTTTCCTAACCATAGGCAAAATGAGGAGGTCGGAGTGACTAGGTTCTCTTTACCAGCACATCACTATGCATCTGCTTAAGGAAAAAAAGGAGAAGAAAAAGACTGCCTGCCTTGGAGGGGGTCACGTGAGGGAAACCCGTGCCTGATTTCATTAGGAAATCCATTCTGTTATTTTTTGGTGCTGTTGGCTACTTTATCAAAAAACCCTTCAATAGCATCCTTAAAAAAAAAAAAAGGAAAAAAGTGATTGAAGCCGTTAAGTGCTTCTTTGTCATGGATGTGCAATCTTTCTAACATTCCGTCTTCATCTCACAGCTTGTTGTTTTACACCTTCACAGGTCAGCATTAATCTTTCTTTTTAAACTCGTTCTGTTGGCGATCACATCTAGAGCCACTAGGAGGTCTGCCGTTCTTTTTGAATGTGAAAATGTATCTGCGCTCATCTGGTCTATTTTTTCTCTTCATGTTGTAACAAAAAGAAAAAAAAAATCCCGTCCCTTTTGTACATACGCCTGTAAATTGTTTTAAATACTTGAGCCTTTTTCTGGGTGGGGGAGGGGAGGGGTGAGAAGACGAGATGAAGAAAAGCCTTACACTTCAGTTTCTTCATCGGTGGATTGGATGCTTACAGGGTTTTTCTTGTAACGTTTATAAGTGCTGCTTACGTCACTGAACAACAACAACAAAAATAATAATGGAGTAGCTGTTGCCCTTCTCCGGTTGTGTGTACAGTATGTGTGGAATAAAAAAGGGAAACTGTTTTCACAAGCTGTTCTTTGTTTCATAATTGGATTCACCAATCCCGCAGCTGCCCGTGTTGCACTGAGCTCGCCGGTGGGGCTGTCTTGTCAGGAGCGTCCTGTGACACTTTGTCGGTTGTCGTTGGCAGAAGACTGAACTGTGTTGGAATATTTAACAATGACATGAGCAGAGTCGTGTTTTCCAATGTGCTTGTCCGGTTTTCATGGCCTTGCTGTGTGTTCTTGCCCTCTTTTTGGACAGTGAACTTCTGCCTACGGCTTACGGTCTGACGTTTAATTTATTAGCGCTGCTCTGCACCCCTCCCCCGGGAGGGAAGACTTCATGTTGTTTATTGCCAGTTTTTTGTTTACTTTTCAGGTTTGTACTACAAGGTTTAATAATAAAAACAAAGTTTTTTGGACACTTGTTTGTCTCGTGGAAGAGAGTGAATGAAATGAGGTGTTTTCTGATAAACGGGCTGAGGGGGTCTGTCCCACTGGCCAGGGAGTGGAGTGAACACTGAATCTTAATCTCACTTTCCCTCTGCTGGGAGTTACCTGGACGGCCTCTGAACAAAAACCAAACGGCTGCTGTTTGCCTCTCATTTTCTGTGGGGCCCCTGGACACCAGCGGGCAGCGTGGCCACGAGGGTGCAGGGCCGCAGCCGCCCCTCCTCGCGCCAGCCTGCCCCTCGTCTGTGGGCTGTGAGCGAGCAGGGAGAGGGGAAAACACGTCCCTGGGGGAGCGGGGTCCCGCCAGGAGCGATGGCCTGTGGGCTTGGCTTCGGTTTCTCTCTCTTCCTCTGGGCCCGGGTGTGTGCTCTATTTAAGGTAGGCCGTGCTTGTTGGACTTCGTAATTTTTGTAATGATCAGATGAAAACCCAAACTTGGTTAGAGCCGAGAGGAAGCACAGCTTCCTGCCTGTAAAGGGCTTCGCCGTTCAGTGCCGAGCCGACGTGGACACCGACTTTCCTGCCTGGCCCGCACGGTGAGGCCCGCAGAACGCGTGTGTTTAGCAGCCCTTCTGTACAAACTGGCTGTGTTTGCGGTCCTCAAACTTTATTGTAGCTGTTGTTTCAGTCAGTTTCTCACACATCATTGGCAACTGTGTAAAAATCGAGAGCCTCCCTAAATCCACCTGCGTTCCCCGCGGGCCTCTGGGCACAGCCGTGTCATCCTCTGAAGGTGGCCAGAGCGCGGACACCCGGGGTTTAGGAGTCACTGTCGTCGGTGTGTAAGGTGGCAAGGGCGGTGTCCACCTCGACTCCCTCCTCGTCAGACTGGACCACGGGGGACTCCCCCACTTCGCTGGGGTCCTGGGCAGTTGGGTCAGTGCAGGGTGCAGATGACGACAGCCGGGTGGCTCGGGAGGCATTTGGAACCTGAAGAGTAACTTCGTCCTGACCAGGGCTCGCTTCAGGCCCTGCAAAATAAAGCAGAGGCGAGCCTCTCCTAAAAGTGCTGCATCTGAGAACTGCCCCTGACGATGGTCATTTGAACTTGCATAGAATATAAAGCAGGTGGGAGTTCTCTGTTCCTGTGACATGCAGGCTGCAGAACCAGGCCCCAGGGCAGTGCAGGAACTGCCCCCAGAAAATGCTGAGCTAGGTGACGCCCGAGGCAGCCCAGGGCCCGAGCTGACCCTTCTGCCACCTGTGACACATGGAGAGATCCCGAACCCTTTCCAGCATCCAATAAAGCACTGTGCTCAAGGCCAAACCGTGAACACTGCATTTCTTTGAGGAACATTCCTGGTAACCTTGATAATCTAGATTTACCTCTTTATATCCTTTGAAATAACTCAAAGAAATGGACGTTAGGAGAAAACCCTTGTGGATCCTCTTAAAGGAATCAAAACCATACGCAGGTGATGGAGTCTCTTCCTGACCCTGGGAAGGGGCCAGCCTTCTCGGCGGGACAAGGGCCTCCCTCCCCGGGACGGCACTACTCACGCAGTTCCCGGGAAGGGGAGACGACGGATGGAGCTGCTTTGTGGAGACCTTAGAGACACACGTGGACAGGAAGCCCCGGGCCTCAACTGTGAGGATGGTAGCCCATGGAGTGGGGCCACCAGCGAAGGGGCAGGTGCTGCTGAAGAGCTGGCCTTTCCCTCTTTTGTACGTGGCAGAAACTTAAACGCGTTCTCTGTAATGGCGTCTGCGAAGACCACCCACCCAGAAGGAATGGTCCGAAATTTAAAATAAATTGAGTCCAGGTATAGGGCCAAAGCCTCAGTAAGTAGACATCGAATGAACATGGAATTTCGGGAAGGCATTAAATGGAGGTAACGTGCCCACAGGGTTGCGACTAATTTTTAAAATACAAGGCGAGTGCTGAACACAAACCTTGGCCTTGCCCACAGCAGAGATCAAATACCTGCCGAATGGGGGAGGGGAAGCCACACAGGAGAGCTCCCCACCTCCCCCAAATTCTAGTGCTTAGCCACAAAAACCACACTCAAATTAACTTGCGAGCCAGAGGAGAAAGAACACACAATTTAAGAAAGCTCCCTGTTCACTGAAGGTGTCTGGGTAAAGCCCTGAGAGTCGCTGAGAAATTCACAACCACAACAGCCAGTGTTTCATTTGTCCACTTCTGTGAGGCCAGACTGTGCGTGGAATGGGTTAGTGGGACAAGAAGATCTGTGCACGCCTTGTGCAACCGAACCGCCCTGTATCGGTTCTCCACGTGCAGGGAAGTCATGGAACTAGGTGTGACTCAATGTGTGCAGACTTGTCACCCCTACCTGGGACAGGGGACAGCACAGTGCTCCCCTCGCCACCGGAGTTCAGGAAGACGTCCAGGGCCTCCTGGTCAGAGATGTCCACCAGGTCCATTTGCTCCAGCAGGTCCACATTCACTTCCATGGATGACATGCTGCCCATGGGCTCTGGGGAGACCAGCACAGGAAGAGGTTAGACCATCTGTCATTTAATAACACTTTAAAAGGTGAGCTTCCACTGTGTTAGGCTCAAAGCACATTGTGTTTTCTAGGTGTAAAATATCTCCCGCTACTCCAGACTTTTAAAATAGACTTTGGAGCAGTGTATTATTGACATGTCCCAGTTTGGTACTTTAAATCCATCCTAGCTTAACCTTGGTTACTATTACCTCTTACACCTGCCACAGCAGTTTTCCTTTTCACCCCCAGCCCTCTTGCTTGCAGGTGCTGAAGGTAACCCTTTCTGCACCAGACAATTCTTGGCTTCGGAGGTGGGCGCTGACTCAGAGAGGCTGACATTCCTGCCAGACACCTCTGGCTGTGGTTGCCCCCAGCTTTACTACAATTCCATTTGAAGTCTTCTCTGCCCTTGTGACATTTCTCTAGTCTTCATCTTAACAGCAAAGTTTGAGCCTCTGCAAGCCGGTGAGTTGCAACCAAGAGCTCCCTGTGGTGAAAGCACAGACTAGAAAGACAATCAGCCCACTGTGGAGAACAGTATGGAGGGTCCTTAAAAAACTACAAACAGCTACCATACGACCCAGCAATCCCACTACTGGGCACATACCCTGAGAAAACCATAATTCAAAAAGAGTCATGTACCACCATGTTCACTGCAGCTCTATTTACAGTAGCCCGGAGATGGAAACAACCTAAGTGCCCGTCATCAGATGAATGGATAAAGAAGATGTGGCACATATACACAATGGAATATTACTCAGCCATAAAAGGAAACGAAATTGAGCTATTTGTAATGAGGTGGATGGACCTAGAGTCTGTCATACAGAGTGAAGTAAGTCAGAAAGAGAAAGACAAATACCGTATGCTAACACATATATACGGAATTTAAGGGAAAAAAATGTTATGAAGAACCTAGGGGTAAGACAGGAATAAAGACACAGACCTACTAGAGAATGGACTTGAGGATATGGGGAGGGGGAAGGGTGAGCTGTGACAAAGTGAGAGAGAGACATGGACATATATACACTACCAAACGTAAGGTAGATAGCTAGTGGGAAGCAGCCACATAGCACAGGGAGATCAGCTCGGTGCTTTGTGACCACCTAGAGGGGTGGGATAGGGAGGATGGGAGGGAGGGAGGCGCAAGAGGGAAGACATATGGGAACATATAACTGATTCATTTTGTTACAAAGCAGAAACTAACACCATTGTAAAGCAATTATACCCCAATAAAGATGTTAAAAAAAAAAAATCAGCCCACCAGCAGAAAGACACTATAGGACTAGAAGTCTGAACCTGGGCACAGTGAGGGGTGCTTCTAGGGTCTGGCATTCATATTTAAACTGCCTCTGTGGTCCAGAAACTACAAGCCAGGTAACTTAAATCATCCCAGGCATGACGCTGCCTGTCACAAGCAAATAGAAATTTCTGAATGTGGACACATCCTTAACCCAGGGTCTCAAAGGAATATAAACTCAACACAAAATCCAATCCAATCCGGAATTTACAGTACACATGTCACTATGAGTGAGGGCCAGCAGAAACAAAGACTATTAGCATCTTTTCCCGAGAATTCAAAGTGGCTTTAAATATTTTAAAGAAAGAAAAGATTGAATCAAACAATGAACAAGGTGTCAAAAATCAGATCAGGCATTTGAAAAAAAGCCAAATAACTTCCAAATAGGAAAAATCACTGAAATTTAGAACTTCGGGCACAAGTTAAAGAGGTGAGAGCCAAATAGAAAATTAGTGAACGAAATAAGTGGGAAGTATGAAAGGGCTTAAGAGAAATGGAAAATGCAAAAGTTTACATATTGACAGTTCCAGAATGAGAATGGAGACTGTAGGGACCAGCGGTATTCGCAGAGGCTGATTATCTTCCAGATTTGCTGAAGGATCAGACATGCAGGATTTAGGAACAAAATATATTCAAGCAAGACAGATGAAAGAAATCCTCACCTAATCCACTGCAGCGAAATGATGAGCATCAAAGAGAAAGAGCAGATTAGGAAAGATAAGGAAATAATTAGACCTACAGCTCAACAACAGGAGTCAGAAGACAGTGGAATAATAAATTCAAAGAGGTGAAGTAAATATCTCTTAAGATCAAGTGTGAGATACAAGT